ATTTAAATAAATTATTATTATTTTTTTTATCTTCTATTTTCCAACTTTTGTTTATATAATAACTTTCATAGCAAATCAAATTTGTAAATCCTAGTATGTTCGGATAATGTGTTTTTTATTTATAATTTTTTTCTCTCTCTCTTTTACAGAAAATTAGAAATCGATGTAAATTTATTTGCTAATACAAATTAATTATCATATATTTAAATTTTCTTCATATGTATTCCCGTGCATCGCTCGGGGAGAATTGCTAGTTTTCGTTAATACAAGGGGGTTCTGTGTTGTTTACTGTTGGTCTAAATATCTAACACGCAATTGCATGTATCGCAAATAAGTAGTAATGGCGGACTCGTGAGAATCGGATGTCGATTCCACTGGGAATACTCAAATTACCTAATCCTAAGTACCGAATTCTAACAACATTTTTATCCAGCTTACGCAAGATTGTCAAATTTAATCAACTAAATAATTAAACTATTTATAAAAGCAAATAAACACGAGAATATATCAATAAAAACGGATCTAGAATTTTATCTTCCCCCTATGTGATAATTCATCACCTAATTAAACATCTATTATGCAAGTTATGATTCCTGATTATTAACCCGAGACACTAAATTACTCATAATCCGCTGTCGCGTGTATTATGTGTCTATTATTCGTAAACGGTTCACCATATGTCTATGCAAACCAATTATGAATAAAGCATAAAATAACAAGTCTCGTAAACGGTTACCTAAGGTATATCTGTATGTCTACGATAATACATGCAATTAACACACTTATCCGGTGAAAACTACTCGAAGGTTCTTATATCCTTGTTCTAATTACTAACTACCTGTCGATTCAATTATAACAATAACACATAACAACATAAATTAGCTAGGTTCATGCACTAAATAAGATCAGATAGAAGAAATAATCATGGAATTTAAACTTGCATAATATTAGAAAAATAGGTTCGAATTACCACATAGGGTTCTAATAAAATTCTATATTAAAAAGTTTAGCTACTCATGTTCTCTACGAAAAATATAATAAAAATACGAAGATTCTTAAAAGTAGAAAAAGAAAAGTAAAAGAAGAACTATGATGAAGATTCGTCAAGTCTTCGTCTTCAATTATCCGTTCTCTCGCTCCTCTTACTCTAAGATTTTGGAAAAAAAGTCTCTAATCCGTGCTTGGTCTTTGCCCTTAAATAGATGTCCCAACTTGGTAGAAGATTTATGTTTCCTTGTGTGATTAAAAGTCCAAAATTGCTTCTAACGTGTTTTCACACGGCCCCGCGAGAATCAGTACAATTCTCACACGGCCGTCTCAAATCCCGAAACTTTTTGCCCAAATTCTACAGTTGGCACGGTCGTGCCAAAAATAGGCTTATTTTCACGCGGCCGTGCCCGACCAATTTTCAGCTTCCAATTGTTTTCTTCCGTTTTTGCCCGTTTTTGACATTTTTTTCGCTCGTTTCATCCTTAAAACTCCCGAACGTTCAAATTGTACCCAAAACACAAGAAACCAAGAATTAAGCACCATAAAATCAATAAAATTATACAAAAATCCTCGTAAGAAGGTATATATTGAATGTAAAATATACACTCGATATTTACCCATAAGATTAATTATAAATCTTTATATTTACACTGCAAAAGAATTCACTATATTTAATTTTTTTAAATGATTATTAAAATATTTTTATAAAAAAAAAAAAAAAAAAAAAAAAGTAGAAATCCATCATATTTTGGGGTCCAAATGAATTCCTTCAACTGCGTAGAAGAAAAAGAAGCGTTTGGACTTCCTTATTCACCTCAATGCCTCATATTCCATACCAGAAATAACTGCCTGTCATAATTTAGTCAAAAAACAATTCACATTTTCTTGCAATTTAGAAGAGCGGTTGATGCAAATATCATCATCATTGCTTCTTCTTATTCATATCTTTCAAGGAGAGAGGGTCAGTCATCTCTTCCGGCCCATCTCCACCTCATTCAACTAATTTGATTAATAAACAAACATAATAAAAATATGGACCAACGCAAGAAAAAAAAGATCGCCATAGTTTCGGTATGTTCGTTAATCCTCGTTGCTATGGTGGTAGCTCTCGTGATTGGCGGCACCGAAAACGAAGAAGAAGATACCGTGCCCGACGTATCTTCCTCCCAAAAGGCAATATCGAGCATATGCGAAACCACCGACTACCAACAAACATGCATGAACAGCTTAGCCGGACACAACAGCACCAACCCTAAAGATCTAATCGAGGTCGCCTTTCAAGCCGCCGTCAACTACATCAATCAAGCCGCCGAGAATTCGTCCACGCTTCAACACCTCGAGACGGACCCAATGGCAAAATCGGCTCTCCAAGTTTGCCAAGACCTCGCAAACCGCGCCATAAACGATCTCCAGAGATCGTTCGCAAAGTTTAGCAATTTCGATATTATAAACGTCGATGACATTTTATTGGACTTGAAGATTTGGCTAAGTGGGGCGATCACACATCAAGAAACGTGCCTCGACGGATTCGAGGACGTGCCCGGAGAATCTGGTCAGAAGATGAAAGATGCCCTTAAAATATCGATGGAATTGACGAGCAACGCCCTTGCTATGGTGGCGGAGATTTCAACGTTTCTCGAAGCTATGGGAATGCAGAGCTTCAGTGGTCGTCGTCGTCTCTTATCGGAAGAATATCTTCTTCCGGTCATCGGACATGGCGGAGAACTTCCCGATTGGGCGGATTTCAATAAGCGTAAACTCCTCACCGCTTCGCCTAAGGAGTTAAAACCGGACCTCGTTGTTGCTAAGGATGGGAGTGGAAAGTACCGGACGATAAACGAAGCTCTCAAAGACATCCCTAAGAAGAGCAACAAGACGTTCGTGCTGTACATCAAAGAGGGTGTTTACGAAGAGAAGGTGCAGATTAATAGTAGCTTAACACATTTGATGATGGTGGGCGATGGACCAACCAAGACGAGAATCACCGGACATTTGAACTTCATCGATGGAACCGGCACCTATCAGACAGCAACCGTTGGTATGTACACTTAAACCTCTATAAATTAATAATTAGATTAATTTAGTGAAATATTAGTACGGGAAAAAAAAATATTATTTAATCGAGATTCATTGTCTTCTTGTTGCAGCTGTGCAAGGAGATGACTTCATAGCCAAGGAAATCGGCTTCGAAAATTCTGCAGGCGCGGCGAAGCACCAAGCGGTGGCGTTGCGTGTTAGTGCCGACAAATCGATATTCTACAACTGTCATATGGATGGATACCAAGACACACTCTACGTGCATACGTACCGCCAATTCTATAAGGACTGCGTGATCTCAGGCACTGTCGACTTTATTTTCGGAGACAGCGCAGCCGTTTTCCAAGGCTGCACCCTAGTGGTCCGGAAGCCAATGGACAACCAGCAATGCATCGTCACCGCACAAGGTAGAAAGGACGTTCGTCAGCCGACGGGAATCGTCATCCAAAACTGTAGTTTCGTAGCTGATCCAGAGTTATATCCCGTTCGGCACAAAATCCTATCGTACCTAGGCAGGCCGTGGAAAGAATACTCCAGGACGATTATCATGGAGTCCTTTTTGGACGACTTTATCCAGCCCGACGGATGGATGAAATGGAACGAGACGTTCGCACTCGAAACCCTCTTCTACACGGAGTTCAACAACAGGGGACCCGCCGCTCCGAAAATGAAACGAGTTAAGTGGCCAGGTGTCAAGGAACTGCCACCGAGCCGTGTCCAGCGTTTCACGCCCGGTGAATTCCTTGACGGTAATCGTTGGATACCCCCGACTCAGGTTCCGTATGCGGCCGGGTTCATCTTTCCTGTGCCGAAAGAAGATCCGAACGTTAAGTACTCACCCGTGGTGCCCGAAGAAAATAAAGATTTGGGTAAAAAGATTGACAAGACTTTGTTAACTGCTGCTATTGAATCGAGTAAGGAAAAGGAAAAAGAAAAAGAAAATAATTCCGACTCTTCGTCCACTACCCCACCTAGTTCCGGTGGGACCGTCAATCCAATGCCGGTTGCCGAACCGCTTTTAATTCCACAGCCGGTTACGGAGATAATACAGATAGCTACTCCACCACCAGTTCCAGTTTCACCTCCTCCACCAACTCCAGTTTCACCTCCTCCACCAATCTCGATTCCCGAGTCAGAGATAACAAGTCCTCCGAGTTCATCGCCTACTGGCAGTTCAACTTCGATTCCAGATACAAATGCCGATGCAGCTGCTCCTCAATCGGGCTCGAATTCTCAGCTGGATTTTGATGCATCTGCATTTGCACCTGGTCAGTCAAACAACGTAGATGCTTCTTCACCTCTCTCTTCTACCGGTGCTGCCTCTCCTATCTCGATTCCTCAGTCGATTGTAGACGAATCAAATTCTCCAACTATCTCTCCCATGAGCAGTTCGGATTCGATCCCACAGTCTAATGAAGCTGCCTCTCCGCCTACCGCCACATCAGCATCGGTTCCTCAGTCGAATGATGCAGCCGCCTCTCCGCCTACAGCCACATCAGCTTCGGCTCCTCAGTCAAATGATGCAGCCGCCACTCCACCTACCACCACGTCAGCATCAGTTCCCCCGTCAAATGATGCAGCAGCCTCTCCACCTACCGCCACATCAGCATCAGCTCCTCAGTCAAATGATGCAGCTGCTTCTCCACCTACAGCCACGTCAGCTTCGGTTCCCCCGTCAAATGACGCAGCTGCTTCTCCACCTACTGCCACGTCAGCTGCGGTTCCTCCCTCAAATGATGCAGCTGCTTCTCCACCTACTGCCACGTCAGCTTCGGTTCCTCCGACAAATGATGTAGCTGCTTCTCCGCCTGCTCCTGTTACTGCCACGTCAGCTTCGGTTCCTCAGTCAAATGATGCAGCTGCTTCTCCGCCTGCTCCAGTTACTGCCACATCAGCTTCGGTTCCTCAGTCAAACGACATAGCTGCTTCACCACCATCTCCACCAACTGCCACGTCAGCTTCGGCTCCTCAGGCAAATGATGATGCAGCTGCTTCCCCGACTGCCACCGCAACTTCGGTTTCTCAGTCAGATGCGGCTGTTAGTCCATTATCATCTAATTCAAAGGCCGAAGCTCCCTCAAATAGCTTATAACTAGCCATCCTACATTACAAACTAGAAGCAATATAATTTTTTTTTTTCAAAGTGTAAGTTAAGGATTTGTATTCACTTCCAGTTATAATCTATTAAGTTTGTACATTCCTTTTTTTTTTTTTTTTTTTTTTCCTTCAATGCACTAATGATTCTTTGTTTATAGTGTTTGTGTTGATTATATTTATGTGCATGACTATATAAGATACAAAATAACAAATAAAAATTAGTATATATCTAATCCATATTTTGCAGATTAAAGATGAAGCAATTTTGAAGGATTGAGAGGATGTTTGGCTAAGCTTATATGATGTTAAAAAAAACTTATGAGATGTTAAATAGCTTATAAGCTCTTCAAAAATGTTTGGTAATTTTTTAGAACAAGATCTTATTTTTTTAAAATAATAAATTGTTGGAGAGTAAATAAAATTATTTTTAATAAGTACATCTAGCCCACCTTTTTATTTAAGATCTTATAAGAGCAACTCTAATAGCTATTCTAAAATTTGTCACTTTTTATCAAATTATACACAATGAACTGTGTTTTAGCATATTACTTTTTCCGACACACTCTGATGCATGCATAACTGGTGTTTGCAGATCAGTTAACTTTGAAAAATCACCAGTTTAGATTACAGAAGAATTAAATTTATTGCTATATATGGTTAGAAAGCTCTAGAAGTCTAGTTTCCAACACATAAAACGGTTTACAAAACTAAGATCAGAAGAAGAAGTTATGTTCAGTTTTCTAGAGCCTGCCAGCTGCACTCGCGAAAATTGACAGCTTTGTGTCTTTTGGTATTTATAAGTGTTTTATTTATTTTATTAGTCTAATTTCGAATTATTAATCTTTTTATCAATTAATTAGGTTATATTCTATGTATTTCATTAGTCAAGGTCAAGTTTATTTATTTTCTAGAATTAGAAGATGATAAGTCATTCAAAATTGTAATTTCCTATGTTTTGGAGGGATGTTCCAAAATTCCTATATAAGTACCCTTTAAATGAATTAAATAGGAGATGATTGTCAAAGATAACAAACAACATAACATGATAACAAAACATGATAAACAATAACACAAATTATATAAATTTAAATCATCATGATTTGCGTATTTAAATTCTCATGCCGTACTTAATAGTCTCTGTTGTCATAGTTGTTGTCGTTAGGAGATTCCAGGATATAAAATTGAGTTCATGTTATTTGAGTTCATGTTATTTCATGTTTAGACAATTTTTTTAAATTGATAACATGATTTTTAAATTATATAGTTAAGAAAATTTATTACTTAGCATTGGATCTATAATTAATATTTAGGAAATAAAATATTATAAAATTACGATTAACATTAAATTTATATTTTTGGGGCATATATGGTGAAATGTCATGGGAGACCAAACTAAATCCCATTTTCTATAAGTGGTGAAATGGTGAAATATTGTCCAAATTTTGGTGAAACCCATGGGAGACCAAAAACACCATTGTTCCACAAAATGGTGGAAGAGTAAAAGGGTGTGCTACCGGTGGGAGATGAACCCATATTTTCAACACCATAAATGAGATTTGGTGAAAAAATGGTGAGATCGGTCGGAGATGCTCTTAGGGCGGTGGCGGCTCTATGATTTGTGACGAAGTTAGGACTGGCGGCAAGGGATTTGAGGTGAGTACCTCGGTTTTTTTTCATTAGTTGTTTTCATTTTTTATTTTGCAATTTCATGTTACATATTGTTTCTCGTTTTGTATTTTTTCTTCAGTTTGATGTTTGTATTTGGAGAAGTCATTGGTAATCTTTTTTTTTTGCACTCAATAATGCAAATTCTGGATTTTTTTCTAGTAATCTGTTTTCTGGGTGAATGATTGGTATTTTACTGTTTGCAATTCAATAATACAAATTCTAACATTCAGTTTGCTATTTGCTGTTTACGGAGTGCGTCATTTGCTATTTGCAATTTGCAGTTCATGGAGTCATTGGCGTCAGTTTACTATTTGCAGTTCACGATAGACGGTGGCGCGAAGGTAGTGTCGTTTTAAGAATATGAGTTTGTACAATAAATATTATATTTTTTTTTAACTAATTTATTTAATTTTTTTTGTTAATATTTGCAAGGAAGATGTTTGAGAATTTGTTTTAAGGGTATTTTTGACATACTAAATATTATGTCAAAAATTTTGATTTGACTAAGGGTATTTTTAATTTGACTAGGGTATTATTTTTGATTTGACTACGCTTATTTTTAACATAATAAATATTATTAATTTATTAAAATACGAAGATTTTAACTTGAATTTATACATAAATTATAATATAAACAGATCTATAACAAATACCCCAACATTAAATCCATTACCCACATCACCCAAAACAAACTTTAATCCCAACCCATCACCCCAAGCAAAAGAGCCCTAAAAGTGAAAACGACTCGAGCTATGAATTGGTATTCAAATAAAATTAACGCAACCTAATAAGTTTCTTCGGAAAAAGAAGAACCTAGCAATTTAAATGGCAGCCTCTTCGTCGTCCCCTACGACGTCGTCTTCTTCCTCCGACGTATCTCGCCGCCGCCGCCGCCGCCATCGCCGTCACAAAACAGACAAAGATCCTCTCAGAGTCAGCAAAAAGAGCCGCTCCCACACAAAGCGCCGCCGTAAGCATCATTCGGCGTCTTCCTCTGAAGGCTACACCTCCTCCTCCGAAGATTACAGGTAAACAAACACATTGAACCGATTTATCAGGATTTTTTTTTTGAATTGGATCTCCTTGTTTTATGGATCTCGATTTTGGAGCTTTTTTTTTACGTTATTCTTTCATTGAATTAAACCTGAATTCCTCTACTTGATGCTTTTGCTTATGATTCTGCAATTTTGCTGATTTAATGCTGTTTATCAATAATTTAAGGTCGAAGTTAATACTCAAAAGTTTAGACCAAGTCTTATCTTTTATTAACTTTAATCTTTTCAGTCGATTTTCCTGTTTGGTTGCGCTGAACTAAGAATTAGCTAATTATTAAAAATTATTTCTGGATTCTTATTGAATTTTCCCAAAAATAATGTAAAAAAAAAAACAAAAGAAATCGGATTCTGATTGATTCTCGTCTCTGTGAAAGTAATCAAGCTTGGAGCAGACTTACCTTCTTTCTTCTCTAAACAATTTCAATAAAATACTTCTCCCAAACACTGCTTTAGACTAAAGACTACAAGGAGAGGTTTGAGCTTTGAAAGATCTAGTTTTTAGTGGAAGTGATATTTAGCCAATCGTACTGAATTTATGATTTGTATAATATTATCTAGGTAGCTTATTTTTTTATCAAACGTTATGGTGTTTAGCTGATAATGAAACGATCAAAGTGAATTTGATGAATCTTCTGTAATCAACGCTGGCTTAAAATATTGAGAGGCAAGCTGGCTGTCCTTTCATGCTTTTATTACAACACAAAGCTTGTTTTAGGTGTTTTATCATATGCCCTAGCCAAAATACTGTCTTCGATGGAACAGAACACCTCCTCGTTCTACTTTTATCTTGTGCTAAAAGGAGTGTGAATTCGTCGGATATTGTTTCATGTTTAGCTATATTTTTTTTTGCTATTAGGGTGTTATTGTGCTTGTTGTTTAGCATACATGAATATAGATGTTCTCCTAACATCTGTGAACATAAAGTAATTTTTAGGTATTTGGGTTAGATAGTTCTACTTATATCCTCATTATAGATGTATAATGTCTGGTTGTTGTGATGGAACCTAAAGTTGTGATCTTTATGCAGCTCGAATCGGAAATCAAACTTTTGTTATGTAGTGTAATTTGATGAATCTTAATTTAGGTGTGTCTTGGAATAGAAAAGATAAGTCACACTGGCACCCCTTCTCTTAATGACAAAAAAGACTCTTTTCTTTGAAATTTAACAAAGAACGATTGATGTTATTGACTTCTTGATAATCTACCTTACGCAGATCATGTTATGGGAATATTTTTTATGTCGGTGAAATGTCATTTAGATGTTTATTATGTTGCCCCTCGGTCCACTATGAATGTAAAAATATACTATAGTGGGCTTGTATTTTTTGACATATGTTTGAGTTTTAAAAGTAGTCTGAACTTTTGCAATATTAGTTGCCGTGAAGTAGAATTTGGTAACATAAAAAGCTAGTATTGAAATATATACTACGATAACAATTATTTAGGGATTTGGTCAGAGGCGGATTCTGGGCTTTGTGATCGATTGTCATGCAGTGAAACTTGA